AAGAGAAGGAAGAGAAGGAAGAGAAGGAAGAGAAGGAAGAGAAGGAAGAGAAGGAAGAGAAGGAAGAGAAGAAAAAGAGAAGGAAGAGAAGGAAGAGAAGGAAAAGAGAAAGTAAAAGATACTAAGAAGTAAAAAAACAGCAACAAGAAAGTAGAGGCAAGAAAAGAAAAAGACTGAAGAATTTGCTTCATAAGTATGATAAAAGTGTGTATAAAAGGGACCCTGAATGTAAAGATGGCAGTGTACGATTCACAATGGTGCCCTTTAAACCTTTATTTGATCAATAATGTGGCAGATATTCTCGTTTTTCTAGGCTTAAACGTGTTTAATTTCAATATATCTAGGTTAATTTCCTTCGGTAAAAATGCGCAATTCTCTTGTGTAAAGAAGCCACAGATGAAAGCAATCAGTTTTTAAAATTATAACCATTGATATCCAATTCATATTTAATCAGACAAAGCTTTTAAAGGGAAAGGCCGGCTATGTAAGGTAGTTATACTGAGTATGCAGTGCTGTTCTTTAGGACATATTTCTCAAAAGAAATTGTCAATAAATCGAAGTTAGAATTAATTATTTCCTTTTTCATCATTATATTGAATTTCTTATTTTCAAAGAATTTGTTCGCAGATTTCTTTAAATTCTTCAAATGAAACTAACAATTTAATAAGTTTGCTTATTTTCGATGATAAGAGTTAATTTTTATTTTCTCAACCTGTTCCAAACCAACTAATTGGTTTACTGTAGAATTTTGTTTACATTTTTTGTCGTCGTTATTTAATAATTAAAACAAAAAAAAATCTGGAAACGTATTCACCCAAGAGTACTATTTTGAACGTCGACTTTGTGCTCAAACTAATGGTTTAGATCTTTTAAAAGTTTTATATGTCTCAAATATATCTTAAATAATTTATTCACAACACTTCATACTCAGTTCAACTACCTTACATTGCCGGTTTGTCCCTTGAAGGGTACCGTTGTAAATTTGGCATTGCCATGGAGGGTCACTTGATATTAAACTCGCAGTCTCTTGAAATACTTTCATTTAACAGATTGTGTTGATTTATGTTTTACCTAATAATAAAATGTATATTTAATTTAATCTTTTCTAATATTTCCTACTACGACAATTTGGTCTGTGGTCGCTTTTAAATAGGCTTTACTACAATTGATGTGTTTTGTTGGTCAAAACCTGTTCCATAGTGAAAATCAGCACCAAAACATTCGAAATTAAAAGGTTTCAATTTTATAAATGCATAAATAAAAAATCCTAGTCTCCCCCCCCCCCCCCTCCCCTCCTGTTGCGCCTATGTCGAGGCCCAAATAACGTGAATAGTAGAATGAATGAAAGTGAAAAACAAAAGAACAAGGGATGGTTGTGAGAAGTTCAGAAGAACTAATGAATGTTATGTATTTGTTATGTTAGATATTTTCTAAGTTTTGTGAGGGATGTGGGAGGAGGAAGAGGAGGGGGGGAAGTATGAGGAGCAGAAGGGGGAGGGGAGTATGAGAAGGGGAGCGGGAGGAGGTGGAGGAGTAGGGGGAGGGAGGAAGTATGAGGAGGGGGGGGGAGATAAACTTTTCCACCTGGAATGGTAACCATATTAATCTGCTTTGTTTGACAATTTTTTAGCAGCATTTTTTATTTTTCATTCCTTTCAGGTTAATCGACTTAATTTCCATGTTTTAACTCTATGTATACTCCATTTGGAAAAGAATATTTTTAAAATATATGTTTTTAGTATTGATTTATACGTACTTAACAACACTGATAAAACCAAATTTTTTAAGAATAAATCAAAAATCTTTTGCGTCCCTCCAAAAAATCTTTGTTTTGTGTTTTTCAGCTAACTTTCTTGTATAACGCACACAGTTATTTATTCTAAATTTATGTACAGTACAGACGAGTACACAAATGTCCAAATTTTTTACGTAAATGTTTCTGGTATCTAGATAGTTCCATAATATTGGCACCACTGTTTCTAGAATCCAGATAGTTCCATAATAGTGGCATCACTGTTCCTAATATCTAGATAGTTCCCTGATAGTGGCACCACTGTTCCTAGTTTCTAGATAGTTCCATAATAGTAGCATAACTGTTCCTAATATCTATATAGTTCCATGATAGAGGCATTACTGTTCCTAGTAATTATAAAGTTTCATGATAGTGGCACCCCTGTTCCTAGTATCTAGATAGTTCCCTGATAGTGGCACCACTGTTCCCAGTATCTATATAGTTCCATTGTAGTGCCATTACTTTCCTAGTAACTATATAGTTCCCCGATAGTGGCACCACTTTTCCTACCTTATAAATAGTTACATAATAGTGGCACCACTGTTCCTAGTAACTATATAGTTCCCTGATAGTGGCACCATTGTTCTTAGTATCTAGATAGTTCCCTGATAGCGGCACCTCTGTTCCTAATATCTATACAGTTCCATGATAGTGGCACCACTGTTCCTAATATCTAGATAGTTCCCTGATAGTGGCACATCTGTTCCTAATATCTATATAGTTCCATGATAGTGGCACCACTGTTCCTAGTATCTAGATAGTTCCCTGATAGTGGCACCCCTGTTCCTAGTATCTAGATAGTTCCATGATAGTGGCACCACTGTTCCTACTATCTATATAGTTTCATGGTAGAGCCATTACTTTCCTAGTAACTATATAGTTCCCTGTTAATGGCACCACTGTTCCTACTATATAAATAGTTCCATAATAGTGGCACCACTGTTCCTAGTAACTATATAGTTCCCTGATAGTGGCACCATTGTTCCAAGTATCTAGATAGTTCCCTGATAGTGGCACCACCATTCCTCGTATCTAGATAGTTCCCTGATAGTGACACCACTGTTCCTAGTATCTATATAGCTCCATGATAGAGGCATTACTGTTCCTTGTAACTATATAATTCCCGGATAGTAATACCACTGTTCCAGTATCTAGAATCTCCATGATAGTGGCACCACTGTTCCTAGTTTCTAGATAGTTCCCTGATAGTGGCATCACTGTTCCTAGTGTCTAGATAGTTCCATGATAGTTGAAACACTGTTCCTAATATCTATACATAGTTCCCAGGTAGTGGCACAAATGCTCTTAGTATATAGAAGTTCCATGATAGCGGTACCACTGTTTCAAGTATCTAAAAAGTTCCCTGATAGTCGTACCACTGTTCCCAGTATCTGTAAATGTTCCTGAAATTGTTCCAAGTTCCTATTTTCTTTTATGAATTGTTTACATATGAATGTTTGTATAGTTTTTGTTTGGAATTTTGTCTAAAATTAAAACTTTTCTCCCGCCTAAATTGGGTCATTTATTTTCCAGGAGGAACTAACTAAATTAATGAATTGATTAGTCATTGATTAGTTAATTAGTTTTGGACTAATCCTGACCCGATCTAGTTATATACAATAAACGTTCAGGGTTAAATCTTAATGAAATCAATATATACACAGGAAAGGGATTTAACTCACTCCAAGATCTCAGTGATCTAAAGGTTTCAACACATAAAAAAATATAAGAACTTTGTCAATTACTTTTAAAAACTGTATCTAAAATCAAGTACTTTATGGTTCTACGATGTGAAAGTCTAGGGCTAGAAAATATTACAACTTGATTTGTGAGGTTACATGAAATGTCAAGGCGTTGAGACGCTTTAACAATGACCCAGTCTTAATTATACTTTACATTGCAGAATTAATCTATGTGAAATAAGGTTAATTTTGTTTAGGTTAAAACCCCGCCATGTTTTATTTCATGTCTTGTCCTTAATGACATGATCTCATTCGTAAAATTAGTGATAAATTTAAAACAAATGATATCTCTGGTGTAAAGGTCTAGATAGTAAAAAAGGAAGCTAGATATCTAAAAGAACGACTGGACAAGCTTTTGAATAAGAATGGTTTGATATCAATGCTGAACGGTTCATATTTTTCTGTTAAGCTTCATCGAAAATTAACAATCTACTTGCAACGTTACTTGGGATTGTCCTATATATCATGACAAGGGAAGAAAAAATTAAATAGTTTTGAAAGCCTAGTCACCTAAAAACCTGGATTTATGTTGTTTTCCTTTTACTGGGAAAGGAATTGACTTTTCAAAATAGAGCAAAAAACCAAAAGGATACTTTATGTACTTTTTAGATACAATCTTAAAGGGAGTGTTCGCGAAAAATGACAGGGGGAAAAATTATCGATAGTGATCGCTAATAATCTTGTGATCGATAATTTTGCGACATATAATTGTATATAGTTTATATTTCATAAGATTTTTGATTTTTTTTTCAAATAATATTTAGCAAAAAATCGATGATTATAGGCTGTAATATATGAATGATTTTATTACGATCCCAGTCGAACTTTCTAAATTTGTATGGACGCTATGTTCTTCGATATGAGTCGTTTTTAACAATTTTATCCATATAGACGCAAAATGATAAAAGTAAGATTAGTAGCAATCACCATCGATAATGTTTCGTTTATACTCCTTTCATTTTTCGCGATCACTCCCTTTAAGTTTAATGTATTGCATATTAATTATCACATTGGTTTAGATGAAAGGGACTATCATTATAATTTAAGTGATCCCTGTTTTAAAGAGGAGATACCCGATTCAACCCTTAAACCTTTAACTGGTCAAACTTGAGGAAGATATCTTCCTTTTCCTATTTCTTGATTGGACAACAATCTATGAATAATGAGTCACTTCAAAATACGTGTACAGTCCCACTAACAATTGATGAAAATAATTACCATTACCAAATAACATAGCATATAGTACCCAAATGATCGTTATGATCAAAATGAATTAAGTATCTTCGCTAAATAAAAAATGTGATTTTTTTCAGAGAAATGCGCTTAACGTGATCGAAACATGTTGTGATTTGTGAACAAGGAGTTTTCTTAAATTCGATGTTTTTAGATGTTTAAATTCAGTAAATAAAAAATGTATCCTTTGATAAAAATCTGGAGAAAAAGGAAAGGATAAATATGTTTGGAGGAGAATGAGGAAATTGAATTTGATTCTTCTTCTGTTCCCCCTGGCGGGCTCCTCTTTTCATCCTAATGTACACACACAGGGTGAGTAAACAGAACTGAACAGAACTGAACAGAACTAAACAGAACTGAACAGAACTGAACAGAACTGAACAGAACTGAACAGAACTGAACAGAACTGAACAGAACTGAACAGAACTGAACAGAACTGCATTATCAGCTAATCTAATTGATGTTCCTTATCTTAACTATTGTCTACACTGTTAACCCTATATTAGATTATATCTATGGTATCTTATGGTATTGGTATGGTACAATGCAGACATTACGAATTAGTATTACGGAGGGGAATTTTTATAAGGAAATATCGTACAAATGTTTGATCTGAATTGATTTTTTAACGATTTTTAAAACATTGTCATGCTTCTTTGCGACTTTAGCTATTTCGACAAAGTTTTTGATCATTACATTGCAATTTATAAAAATATGTTTTGCTGATGTAACACCGCATAGTTCTTGTAAGTACTTAGTAAAGTTTTCAAAAAATTAGTTAATGCTTTATCAATAAACTAGCTTGGGAAATTAAAAACATTCCCGTGGTTCTACCGGGTTCCACAATCAAAATTTGAAGCAAATTGTCAAGGGTTTCATGAATTTTCATCGGTCATATAACACACAGACAGACAAAAAGACTTTATTCATTTAAGATACTGTTCGAAAACACTTCTACTCTTAAAGAAAAAATTTTAAATCGTCCTTTTTAGGATTTGAATGTTTAAAACTGATCTAATTTTTTAACTAAAAATAAAGTGTTTTCTTATTTTTTATAGAAAATATCTTTTCATCATTATTTTAAAGAAAATGAGATTGTAGAGTATAAGGACCGATTTTAATGAATTGGAAAGGTCGCCGTTTTCAATCCTGAATCACCAATTCAAATCTTCATGAATCTTTAACCTTGACATGGTGATTTAGGATTTGAACTGGCGATAGTTAGTTCAGCTTCCTCTCTTCAATTCATCGAATTCCGATCTTGATTTCAATTTTTATTGAACGTTTAACTGAAATTATAAAGATTGATTCTTCCAAAAAAAATCTGGCTATGATCACAGATAATTATTTTGTTGCATTCAACTTATCAAAATATTCTAACCATAAAATATATATAATATATATCATCGATATAATAAAACAACACATTCGTATAAATATATAAATAAATTTATAAATATATGTATACGGGCAAGGACGGGCCCTTCAGTTAGTATACTATATTGTAACACAGCTTAATATCCTAATAGACAGAATTCCCTAGGCAAATGCTAGAATCCCTATATATATATATATATATATATCTATATATTATATATTTGTGTATAATGTAAATGAAAAAAGGGGGATAATCTATATATATATAATTATGTTTATTATTGAATATATTTGTGCATAAATATTATTAATAATAGGGTAACCAATATAGAAAATAAAAACAAATCACAAACCAAAACATAGTCGTATGAGGAGTTTAGGAAGCTTCTTGCTCCTATATTCATTGATTGACCTTTTTGTTTTGACTTATTAGTAGATTATCTCAAAGATTCCCATATAAATATTTACAAAAGAGGAAAAAACAGGGAAAAATTAATTTTTTAATATCCTTTCAGAGGACTCATGGTTCCCAAATATAATAAAATGACAAATTTTTACTTAATCCAAAAATTTGTTGTTTTCTCAAAGTTCTTGGTCAAAAGTAAATAAAAAAGGTGTTTAACTATCACGAGGTTTATAGATTGGTTGAATCCCTCTAATCAATTATCCTACAGTATCCAACCATGCATATATATTTAATGATTTCTCTATCTCCAGTTCTCTCTAGCTGTCAGCCTTAGATAATTGGTTGTAATTCTTGGTGTTTTCTTTACAGTAAACCTAGATAATCAGTCAATATAAATCTTGATAATCAGTCAATATAAACCTTGATAATCAGTCAATATAAACCTAGATAATCAGTCAATATAAACCTAGATAATCAGTCAATATAAGCCTTGATAATCAGTCAATATAAACCTAGATAATCAATCAATATAAACCTTGAGAATCATCCAATATAAACCTAGATAATCAGTCAACATACACCTTGAGAATCATCCAATATAAACCTAGATCATCAGTCAATATAAACCTTTAGAATCATCCAATATAAACCTAGATAATCAAACAATATGAACCTAAATAAATAGTCAATATAAACCTAGATAATCAGTCAATATGAACCTTGAGAATCATCCAATTTAAACCTAGATAATCAGGCAATAATCTAAATAATCATCCGATGTAACATGGATAATCAGTCAATTAAAAATAAAACAATCAGTCAATATAAACCTATAAAAATCAGTAACATAAACTTAGATAATCAGTCAATATAAACCTAGATAATCAGGCAATAATAATCCAAATAATCAGTCAATGTAACATGGATAATCAGTCAATTAAAAATAAAATAATCAGTCAATATAAACCTATAAAAATCATTAATATAAACTTAGATAATAAGCCTAACTAAACCTAGATAATCAGTCAAGATAAACCTAGATAATCAGTCAATATAAACAAAGATATTTAATCAATATTAACCAAGATATTTAGTCAATATAATTACATATAATTTAATTATATGATTATAAACATTTTATCATTATAAAAGAAACGTTGTTGGAACAACCTTTATACATACATAGATATTTCTAAATACTGAATATCAATAAAAAATAAAAATAAAAATATTTATCAACCTTTTTATTTTCTCCTAATATAAAGTTTTATGTAAGCTTTGTCTGCATTATTAAATATATATTTTGTAATCTAATATTATCTTTTTTTTAACAATGTAACAAAACTATAGAATAAATGTAACAATTTTCTAAAAAAGATGATTTAAAGATTTAATTCATAATATGTTATTGTTAATTTATTCGATGATAAATATAGCGCTTTTTGAACACATTATTGTGGCATTTTGGTTTGAAAAACTAATCAATTTTAACAATTTAAATTTTCAGTGGGGTTCACAAATTAATAAAGGATATTTTTTGAGAAATGTTCTTGAAATAGCACAAAGCGTAAAAACAATCAGTTAGGTCAGAAATTTTTAAACTCCTAGAGTCCAGGAGTATGGGAGGAGTGTAGAATATTCTTATGTTTAGGATACTGGAGTCCAGGAGTATGGGAGGAGTGTAGAATATTCCTATGTTTAGGATACTGGAGTCCAGGAGTATGGGAGGAGTGTAGAATATTCCTATGTTTAGGATACTGAAGTCCAGGAGTATGGGAGGAGTGTAGAATATTCTTATATTTAGGATACTGGAGTCCAGGAGTATGGGAGGAGCGTAGAATATTTCTATGTTTAGGATACTGGAGTCCAAGAGTATGGGAGGAGTGTAAAATATTCCTATGTTTAGGATACTGGAGTCCAGTAGTATGGTAGGAGTGTAGAATATTCCTATGTTTAGGATACTGGAGTCCAGGAGTATGGGAGGAGTGTAAAATATTCCTATGTTTAGGATACTGGAGTCCAGGAGTATGGGAGGAGTGTAGAATATTCCAGACTGGATCAGAGTGTGGGTTCGGAACTCAGGTTAAACTTACACAAAGTTGGAATTAAAGTTAAATTTGTTCTAACTTTTTTTATTCGGTTTTATTCAGTTTTATTTAATTTGCGTTTCTCTTGTCAGAAAGGGTTTAATTACTTAATTGCATGAAAACTGAATTGATCCCAAATGACGACAAAGAAATTGAGTTTGCCACAAATTCTGATTTACTGATCTCTTTATGTTTACAACTCAATGTCGGGGACCCTAGAAATCTCAAAGAATAAATTCTGTTAGATCAATTAATCTAAGTTTGAAATATCAAAGGTTTACAACATTAGGTTCGAAAGATATAGTGATAAGAAAATTCCAGTTTGTGGCAAAGACTCAATTCCTTTATGCAACATTAGATATTTTCTTTTTTTACATTCCAAGCTTAGGTATTTAATGACTTATATTTCCCTATATTTTTAGAGTCGAAACGTGTCTTGTATCGGGTTTCCGTCCTCACCTCCTCAAGTGGTTAAACCTATTCTTTGCAGTGGATTACCTAAACCAGATCAGGTCAAATATTCTTGGTTGAAAATTTTAAGATAATATTTCTTGTCTTTCTGACAAAAAACCCCGAACCAAATACGAAGGTTTTTCTAAACGATCGATTTTTGGTTCGTTTTAAATATTTTTTTATTAAAATAAAATTATTGCAAGGTTTGATAAAATAAAATTATTGTAACTTCTACAGAATACATAGACATATTGTAACTTCTACAGAATATATAGATATATTGTAACCTCTACAGAATATATAGATATATTGTAACTTCTACAGAATATATAGATATATTGTAACTTTTACAGAATATATAGATATATTGTAACTTCTACAGAATATATAGATATATTGTAGCTTCTACAGAATATATAGATATGTTGTAACTTCTACAGAATAAATAGATATATTGTAACTTCTACAGAATATACTGATATATTGTAACTTCTACAGAATATATAGATATTTTGTAACTTCTACAGAATGTATAGATATATTGTAACTTCTACAGAATATATAGATATATTGTAACTTCTACATAGCAAACAGACATTTATGGTCCCGGAAGATGCAGATATATAAATAACAGAATTAAAGATAGATAGATACAACTCTACACTATAAGACAGCAGCCTGTAAACTTGTGAATGTTCACAATGTAATTTGTGCAATATTTGACATCAAAAGAATAGGTTTAGTTTTCCTCATCAGCGAGGCTTATAGAATTTATTTTTCCATGTTTTGTATAAATATCTATTTCTGATGTAAAAAAAGATTTCGCGCCTTGAAAAGAATTAAGCGGGAAAACATTATTCAGACTTTAAACAATATTGTGTAACATGTGATGCACAGTACCCTAGGTAGAATTGTAAGGTAAACAAACGAAACATAAATGTATATAAATTCTATATTCTATTTTCTATGTTTTGGGATTTGGAAATAAATCAAGAATATGGAAAATACATACACAGCAGCAGAGTGGAACTCAACTTTTTACAAGTCCCTACAATATTGAATAATATATATATCCTCCCAAGGGAAGCACAATTCTAAATTTTTCATAAAATCTAATGTTTTAAATTCCTTAAAAAACTGAAATAAATAATGTTAATGACAAACAAAGACTAAATATTAAACATTTTCTGATAAAACTGGTATTCATATTTAAACCTTATGGGTCATAAATAACAAACTTGGCTCAAAATAGCTTTCACAGCTAATGTTCTAAAGATTAGGATATTAAAGGTTTAAAAATGGGAGTTTTACGACTCAGATTTATTCATTTATATTCTACAAGAAAACTTGTAATATCACTAATATTTAATGTTAAGGAGCGATTGTGTGCTCGACGTTGCTCTCCTGACTGCCAGCTCGGTCCATGGGAAGCGTGGGGTCCTTGTACCTGTAACAGGAGAGCTCAAGCCAGAAATGTACGGGGCATCAGTAAACCAGAAGCCTGTGCTGAGTGCGCAGACGCAGACAGCACAAGATTCAGGAAATTAAATGATACGATTTGTAAATTGAAGACACAAAAAATGACAATAACAGCTCAGGTTGTAAATAAGAGGAACCAGTTAAAAAAAATGTATGGATTTTAATTTTATTATTAAATTTTTCAAAAAATATTTGTCCTTTTTGTAAAGGACATGTCAACCTTGATCTTACAAAATAACAAAGATGACCGAATTTATAATCTTAAAGACCATGAAATAAAATTCATGAGATTTTTAAAATTACAATGAATATTTGAAATGAAATACATTTCCGTTTCCAATTTTCCTCTTCTCCTTCCATCCAAGTATATGGGGATAAAATGTGAGCTTAACAGGAATTCATTGGATTTGAGTTGGATTGTGTCCAAAAGTAGGATTCTCATATCAATAAGATATAGATATACCCTCATAGTTTCAAACTTAAATGCATTCATGTCAACATTTATAGAATTCAATTCGGATTTTTTACTAAAACCTTTTGGCCTCACCGGGAGACAAAATTTCCGGGATTAAATGAAGCATTTCTTGAAACATAATTAATTTATCTTTCGACTTCAAGTTAATTCATCAGATCTGCACTTCAAATAGTCCAAGATACATCAGATAGACTTTTTCAGGTCAAGTAAAAGTACATCAGATGGACTTATAGTTCAAGAAACAACAAATGAACTTTTTGCAAAATAGTTCAGGATACATCAGATGGACTTTTTACCTTTAAGTCCTAGATAAATCAGATGGGATTTTTTCAAAATAGTGAAGATATGTCCGATGGACTTTTTGCAAAATAGTCCAAGATACATCAAATGGAAGTTTTCTCATTAAATCTACTGTGCATCAGATGGATTTTTTCCTATATGAAGTCCAAGATATATCTGATGGACTTTTTTCTATATGAAATCCAAGATACATCAGATATTCCATTTTGCCTATATGAAGTTCAAGATACATCCGATGGACTTTTAGCAAAATAGTCCAAGATTCTTTAGATGGATTTTTTACAAAATAGTCTAAAATAAATTAGGTTGACTTTTTACAAAACTAGTCCAAGAAACATGAGATGGACTTTTTACAAAATAGTCAAAGATTCTTTAGATGGACTTTTTACAAAATAAATTAAATAAAATAAAATAAATTAGGTAGACTTTTTACAAAACTAGTCCAAGAAACATGAGATGGACTTTTTACAAAATAGTCCAAGATAATCAGATTGACTTTTTTGAAAATATTCCAAGATACGTAAGATGGACTATTTGTAAAATAATTAAATCACTAAATAAGGCGTATTCCGATTTATCTGCATAAGTTAAAGTGCATATTTATTGAATCGTCTTTTTATCCACAAATGTTATAAGCCTAATCCATTTCTAAATTTAGATAATTTTAAGGTTTCCATTCTTCTATATTTGATATATTTGACCTTAATTCATAAATTGTAAGATTAAAATTTTAAGATTCAAAATTAATTTTTTTAAATTAAAAATCTTTATCAAACATGATAAAGAAACGGAACTCAGAGGATAAATTTAAAAAATTGGTTACACTTGAAATTGTATTCAATGTTTCGAGATTAGAGCCGGCGCTCAATTGAAACTAGTTTTTGGCGGTTCAGCGAATCGGTTTAAATTCTTTAAATTCGGCCTCAGGTCACAAATTCTAATTTGTATCTCTATATATTTGTAACCTGATGTTATTCACCTTTGACATTTCAAACTATGATTTTTGCTTGATCAAATAAGTGTCTAAGTTTGAAATATCAAAGGTTTACATAATCAGGTTGCAAAGATATTGTATTTAGAAAATTAGAGTTTTCAGCTAGGTTTTTAAATATATTAATTTTTTAAAACAATTTATTGACTTTTTAAAATTGAAATAATTCGGTTATTGTAGTTTGCATAGGTTGAATAAACTACAAAATAAATTCTAATACAAAATTAATGCAGCAGTGTGCCCTGAGCTATATAATGACTACCATAACCAAGGTTTACTGTCCAAACTTACAAAATAAAAACTTTAATGTTTGTTGGTAATGGGAAATTAATTTATTGCTAATAAAATTAAGCCTTATTCATTACAACTTATTTTCATATCAATGACTTAATTTGTAAAACTTTCTTTTCTTTTGCGAATAGAAAAAGTAGATTGTAAACGAATTTTCTTGTTTTGCTTTTATTGATGTATCATTTATCCATGTATAAGAAGAGTTGTAGTGCCCCCCACTGGTGGAGGGGGGAGTTGTCCCCCTAAACTACAAAGAAGATCCTGTATCCCAGCCCTCTGTATCAAGGGACCAACCACTGAAAATGTAATCACTGAAAGTTGATTGAAACATGTTCTTCCTCACAAATTGTTTTGCAAACAGACAAACAAACAAACAAACAAACAAACAGACAAACAGACAAACAAACAAACTAAATCATAAACAAACAAACAGACAAACATTCGCATGTTCAAGGTTACCAGGACCAGTTGTGTCCTGATAGCCTGTCGCTGTATACGAACTAAGGAACTAATGATTGTATCCTTATGAAATTTTAGAAATCTGTGTTTTAAAGCTTCACAAATTCAAAAATAAATTTTGGGGTTCATACATCGTTTTTTGAAGGTGTCCTTATAACCCTCGTCTGAATGAGTTTTCGCTGTCAGGACCACTTTTCTCGGCTGTCAGGACCGTTTTTCGTAAAATTTGCGCTGTCAGGACCTTAAAATTTTTTGAATGGAGGTTATCAGGACCTTTATATTTTAGTGTTGCATCGAAATATTTTAGTTTTCGAAATTACAACAAGGTCCTGGTAAGCTACTGTTACAGATAAAACGTATAATATCCTATCCATCCTATCCATTCCATCCATCCTATCCAACCTATCGATCCTATCCATCCAATCCATCCTATCCATCCTATCCATCCTATCCATCCTATCCATCCTATCCATCCAATCCATCAAATCCATCTAATCCATCCAATCCATCCTGTTCATCTAATCCATCTTATCTATTCTATCAATCCTTTCCATCCTATCCATCCTTCCCTAACTTGATATATATGACCCAACAATGAGAAGAGAAGGATGGATAGGACGAGTTTATTGTAGGAAGAAGAGAAGGATGGATAGGACGGGTTTAGTGTAGGGAGAAGAGAAGAATGGATTAGACAGGTTTAGTGTATGGAGAAAAGAAGAATGGATTGGACGGGTTTAGGTTTAGAGAGAAGAGAATGATGTATAGGACAGGTTCAAGTTATAGAGAAGAGAATGATGGATAGGATGGGTTTAGTGTAGAGCGAAGAGAATGATGGATAGGACGGGTTCAGGTTAGAGAGAAGAGAAGGATGAATAGAACTGGTTTATTGTAGCAAGAAGAGAAGAATTGATAGGAAGGGTTTAGGTTTAGAAAGAAGAGAATGATGAATAGGACAGGTTCAGAGAAGAGAATGATGGGTAGGATTGGGTTAGTGTAGGGAGAAGATAAGAATGGATAGGACGGGTTTAGTGTAGAGAGAAGAGAAGGATGGATAGGACGGGTTCTAGTTAGAGAAGAGAAGGATGGATAGAACGGGTTTATTGTAGGGAGAGGAGAAGGATGTATGGGACAGGTTTAGGTTTAGAAAGAAGAGAAGGATGTATAGGATAGGATGGGTTTTGTGTAGAGAGAAGAGAAGGATGAATAGGATGGGTTTAGTGTTAGAGAGAAGAGAAGGATGGATAGGACAGGTCCATCCTATCCGGCCATCCTATCCATCCTATCCATCTTATCCATCCTATCCATCCTATCCATCCTATCCATCCTATCCATCCTATCCATCCTATCCATCCTATCACCTATCCATCCTATCCATCCTATCCATCCTATCCCTCCTATCAATCCTATTAATCCTATCCATCCTATCCATCCTATCCATCCTATCCATCCAATCCATCCTATCCATCCTATCCATCCTATCCATCCTATCCATCCTATCAATCCTATTAATCCTAGCCATCCTATCCAACCTATCTTTCTAATCCATCTCATCCATCCTATCCTGAGCAGGCTTGTCTAAACAGGAAGGTTTTACTCCAGACCAGAGAGATCAAACTGTACGAACAGGAAGGTTTTAGAAATCTAAATCGATTTTATCTTCTTCATAATTGATCAAGAAATAAATTACGGTTTTTAAGGGTGTCATTGTGAATCGGTCATGTCCTTTAAAATTACTTGAAATAACTCTTACATTCTTGTTAAGCATTACAAATGTATTTTATTATAGCCCCAATTTTTAGTCATCCTAAATAATTATCGATATTATTAAAATTCATTGAAAAGAAAATAGACTTGTAAAAACCTTGCTTCAGAAACAATTGAGAAATTGCTTAAGAAGTAAATACATTTTTTAGCTAAAAACGACTTGATTTTTGTCACAAACTCAAATTTTCTAGTCCTTATATCTTAGAAACTTAATGGTACAAACCTTTGATATTTGAAACTTGATCTACCATAGTTCATAGTTGAAATATCTAAGGTCTACGGCATTGGGTTGCAAAGATAAAGAGATTAGAAAATTTGAGTTTGTGGCAAAGACCCAAATCCTTTAATAATTTGATTAAATTCAAGGGTGTTATTAAGGAGCGGATCAAACTATTATCTGATCTNAATATAAGTTTACCAACTCTTACTTTTATTCTGTTAACACCAGTTCTCCCAATTTCTGCCAGTAAACTCTAGTTCTCCTACTTCCTATCTGTAAACTCCAGTTCTTATAAGGTCTCTATCTGTAAGAACTCAGTTCTCCTACTTTCTTGCTGTAAACTCCAGTTCTTCTATTTTTTACCTGTAAACTTTAGATCTACTACTTTTTATCTGTAAACTCCAGTTCTCCTACTTTCTATCTGTTAACTCTAGTTTTCCTACTTTCTATCTGTAAACTCTAGCTATCCTACTTTCTCTTTGTAAACTCCAGCTGTCACACTTTTTATCTGTAAACTTCAGTTCTCCTACTTTCTATCTGTAAACTCCAGCTCTCCTACTTTCTATCTGTAAACTCCAGCTCTCATACTTTCTATCTGTAAACTCTAGTTCTCCTACTTTCTATCAGTAAATTTCAGTTCTCACACTTTCTATCTGTAAACTACAATTCTTATACTTTCTATCTGTAAACTCCAGTTCTCATACTTTCTGTCAGTAAACTCCATTTTTCCTACTCTCTATCTGTAAACTTCTGTTATCACATGTTCTATCTGTATTTTTACAGGCATATTAGTTTAAATAATAAGATAGGAAACAATTTTATGGGGTATTTCTGGACCTTTATTCAATTCTATTTTCGTTGTGTCTTTCATCCCTTGCTGCTTTAATTTCATATCATAGGGGCCCCTCCAAGAGTTTAGTGTGGGGCCCAGGCCCCCCCCCTTAATCTGCCCCTGGATTGGTATCGAGAGATTTGACTATGAATTCTGTTAGAGTAAATAATCCAAGTTTGAAATATCAAAGGTTTACACCATCAGTTTGAAAATTTTGTGGCGAAAATTTCAATTCCTTTCTTTTATTCTCGCTTCTAATTTATAGATATTGTTATAGTTTCGGTATTATTAATACTTGTAGAAAACATACTATATCAATTATTATTATTCTTATGATTTTTGTTATTATCATCATTCAATCAATGGTGATACGGATTAATTTTATAAATCTAATCTTTACGTTGCTGTCATTATATGTGACATTCAACTTGGGTGTATAATCGAATCAGTATAGAAACATTTCCGCTAAACCCTATAAATGTGTTGGTTTGCTTTGCGTTTTTTGCGCTGACACGAAACAAAAAGGTCCTGACAGCCGTTTTTTGGTCCTGATAACCCTACTGTGAACGCGATGGTCCTGACAGCCGGTCCTGATAGCAGGAGAGGTCCTGGTAACCCACTGCTGTATGGGAAAATGTCCTGATAATCCATGGCAACCTAAGAGCAGACAAACAGACAGACAAGTCAAATTTATATATAGATGAAGAACTAACCTCTTTTTGTCTGTTGTTAGAATTTCCGATCATACTTTGACTTTTAAGTCTTAAATTGGTGAACATCGACTTTTATTATGGGAAATTTAAAATCCAGCCAAAGCTGGTTTCACTGCAAGGTAGTAAAATATCTTTTTAATTCGGTTCTTTTTTCACTCCTGTAGTTTCAGAGCCTATTTCTTATTTAAACTTTTGAAAAACATTGAAAACAAATAACTTATTTGACAAATTTCCATTCACAGCTTTGAGTGATCAACCTATTATTGACTGTGGATGTTGAGATACTTGAACACCTGCCTTAATTGGATTTTATTTTTGTTAAAAAAAAATAAAAAGTTGGGTGAAAATATTTTTTCAGCGTTTCATCAATTGCTCAATCAATCAATCAACCTATATTTATTTTTTGCTTTATTTTTCACCATATACCAGAACCTCTCCCTTCCCCCCCCCCCCCACCGGGGAGAACCCTTATCCCCATTCCTACAAGTGTGCATTGCTCTTTTAACATACAGAGGTGGATGTTTTCAAAGATTGTTGGGCCTGTGTGGCGGAGTTTCCAGGACAGCAGCTCGGATCTCTGTTATTCGGGTTACCAATGCAATCCTTGAATTCAAGGATGAATATTTAAGGATGCCAAGTATGGTTGACCAGTACCAAGTAACCAGGAAATATTTTGAGCACTTCGGCATCCCATAAATTGCTTACGGAGTAGAAGGCATGCATGCCACATTCGTTGGCATGCCTTGGGACAGGCCTGCCCACATTCCACCACAGAGGTTTTGGAACAGAAAACAGTGTTATTCTTTCAACGTGCAGGTCTTTAGTAATGGCGAGAGGATATGTGCGGTAGATGTAGGTTGGCCTGGATCTGCGCATGACTCAAGGATCTGGACAAGATCATTGGAGAGGCTTATAGTGGAGGCCAATCCTTCCCATAGGATCTGCGGGGACTCCGCCTATCCAATATCTGCTGTATTGGTGAAGCCCTATCCTGCCAGAGAAACCTGCAACAATCGTGAGAATCAAATTTTTAACAAAAAACTTTCTCAAATTTGCACATTCATGACTGGAGACGTATTTAATATAAAAAAGGAGATGCGAGACTCGGATGAGTTTAACAGACTGGACTGGGGATTAGATCGGGTAGGATTAAACCCTCGAGTTTACGTCTCAGATTTAGAGATGAGACGGGAGGGACAGGCACGTCAAGATGAGCTACGCAATATGATGGTTATTTAATTAAATTTTCCATGTTTTTTTCTATGTATTTTACATAAAACATTGTAAAATAACAAAGTGTCAAACTTTCAATTAATTAACAGATAGACTAAACAATCAATCAATCAATGAGTCAATTTAGTATTTTACCTCAATATATATTTAATGTAAAATATTTTTATATCTCCATTCATAACTTATGAATACCTTGACCGATTAGACTGGTGAAAAATTATCAGTGTTAACTTAATGTCTATGTAAAGCTGGCTTCCCAAGCAAGTGACTTTAATAAAAATTAAACAAAAACATTTTTAGAAAGAAAGAATTTAAAAAAAAACTGTTTTAGAAATATTGAAATTAAAACTATGCTTGGTTAAAGTTTGTTACAAAAAGTAGATTTTGTTGTATTCCGGACTGAACCAGAAAAGGGTGAACAGTCCCTTAGTTACAATGAGAGATCGGAGAGACCAGATTGGATCAGTACATCCCAAACC